AAGTAAAATGTGTTTTCTTTTAGAAACTTGTGCATGATCGTACTGGTTCTGCGCTGCGTCACGCGCTGCGCAGCTATCCCTTATTGATATATACCAATTTGAATTATCGTACATACACACTGTACTACTGTGTAATCATACCCTTCGAATTTTCACACAGTACTAGGTACAGTATGTACTTTTGTACGGTACTACTTTACTTCATACTTATGAATTCCGATACTTTCATTATTTTATATTCTAGATGTACAACCGCATTAAAATTTTAACTCCGAAACTTTGTCTTAGAGATTCACCCTTTTTCTAATGTAAATCCTCAAGTCCGGGATTGTATGACTTATTACATCATAGTCAATAATAAAACCAATAACCAGGAATAATATAAGAAAAAACATGTGATTTTTACTAAATAGGAAAATCTTACGTAATGTTAATCTAATCTGTAATCGATTAGAGAGTACTGAAATCTATACTTAATTTTTGATAACATATATATTAAAATATATGTTACATGGCATCCAAAAAAGATTATCAAAAAAGGAAAATTTAAATTTAATGGCATTCCGAATTCTACTTTTCTTTCTTCTCCGACAGCATTTACACACAAAGGTCCCAAGGGTTTACAAGCTGTAGATACACACAAGATAATTTAAATGTATACAAATTAAGAATTTTCAATGGAATCTTAAGATGAAAATAGAACGAATTAATGAGTCCTTGTTTCATATCTCGTTATTCATATCTCCTAATTAGTATAAATTTGATAAGTACGTAATCTATTTTTAATTGCGAGCTCATGTGTAGCAACTAAATGGAATAAGAACCTTAATCAATGATCAAAGAAGTTAAGATTATAGTGCTCCATTCTTTATCTTTATTAATATAAAAAGATGGAAAATTTGACAAGCTTATCCAACGCGTTTTATTTTGTTAATTGCTAGATGCTGGATGTATTTTTCTTAATAAAAAATAAAAAATTCAAAAAATTTTAACAACTATTTAACAACCATCGACGCGTGAATTGGCCAAATTTTGTACTAAAAATAAAGCATTTGTTTGACCTTTTTAGAAATATGAATAAGACTCGTAATATGGCTTAATAAATTATAAGTACGCGAATTGCTTTTTATTCTAATAGACTGCGGATGTTCTTTATTCTCTTACCATAATGGGGCCAACAAAGCTTTTATTCATTTTTCCTTAACGGTGATAGATAAATGAATTCAAGCTTCTATTCACCTTTCCTTAACGGTGATAGATAAATGAATTCAAGCTTCTATTCACCTTTCCTTAATGGTAAGAGATAAATGAATTTAAGCTTCTATTCATTTTTCCTTAATGGTGAGAAATGAAAGAAATTTTAAATTTCTCGGAATTAGGATGCACCAATTAAGTCTTTGGCGTTTTAGTTCCCCTGTTTAGCATTAGCTAAAATAAATAAAAGAAAAAAAGGGTTAATTTATATTGAGAGAGTCCGTGTACTATAAAAATATTGTGATCCATTTTTATCTTTTATTTTTGCCTTTTTTTTTTTTGTTCATTTATTTCATTTACAAGAAAAAAAAAGGTGTTTGTTTGCTCTATTGAAAATATTTTCTTCGGTCTTCTTGTAAAACAATGTCAACGTTAAAGACCTTATTCGATATCACCGAAATAGATGATGAACAATTCGACATTCTTATTTTCAAAGATAACAACCAATACGTAATTTCATTTGTTATTGACAATAAACCCTATCAATTACTTCTTCCCGATGCAAAAGAAATTACGTTGAAAAGAAAACTTCGAAACATAAATGCATATCCTTTATTTAGAATGCTAATTCAATCCAGGTTTCAGAGCCTCGCTGACTCTAATCAAAAGAATCGGTTTAAAAACCAAGATATTTCTAAGCTCACAGGAAAGATGTGGGGGTCTTCTGAAGAATTCCGAGAAGAATTTGAAAAGTATACAAGCCAAGTAAACCTTCACCGTCCTAAACCTTTATATGATTTTAAAACTCAGGATCCTAATCAAAAACCAACCAGGGGAAAACGTTCAAGCAAACCTAACAAAAAAAGTAAAGAAGAAAATACTATTATTTTTCGTGACGCGCAGCCAGCAACAGGATCTACTGAATCATTTTCCGAGTCGCTTCATTATGGTTCTCAATGGCAAAGCAACGAGAACAACAATAATAACACGACCGAGCAGCCTAAGCAGGGTAGCAATAATTGCAATGCAAAATTGACAATAAGCGAAAATTCCGTCCCTTCTAATGATGATGAATTCAATCCATTAACGTCCATGCCCTTTGAGGTGTCACAAGAAGAATTAGAGTATTTCTATTTTTATTACAATTGTTACTTTGAAAACGTTGCTGGAGTTGCTGGGCAATCCAATTCAATGCAGTATGATAATAATTTTTCGTCTTCTGACGTATATCAAAATAATTTTCAAAATGATTTCGCGTCAAATTCAAATTTCAACACTCCATCAAACTCGAACGCGAATATTTTCCAATAAGATAGTCAAGATACAGTAAATATAATTAATATTAATACTAAGTAATGACAAAAACAATATCAAAAAAAAAAAAAATTTACGCTAAAATAATTTCATATACAATGTTTATGTCACGTATTTTTTGTATGCTACACTTGGCTTTTTTGGATAGAAAACACGTTCCAATTTTGAAGTGTTGTAATTTTTTTTAGCATGTACTGTACATTATTGTATTTTCTTAGAAATTTGTACATTGTATATTATATTAATTTTTCTATATAAATGCTCTACCATAAAAGTCCCTTTAATTAACAACTAACCGGTAAATTAACCGTTAACGTCAATTAATTGTTAAACAATTAACCCTTAATATTAATGCCAATTCATTATTTATTTATTTCACATTTTTGTCAATTAATGCAACACATCATCACATGACAATTTAACTATGATGCAATGCATCATGGTTTACAGATCATAATGATGTAACTATTACGTACTTTTAAAAATCAGATATTATTACGTAACACGTACGTAAGTCAGAACGAAAAGTATATAAAATATTTTCACACGCAAAAGTATCAATCTAAATCTTTCAAATTTTTAAATTGAATTTTTTATTTTTAAATTGAATCTTTTATTACGCGTAAAAAAAAATGGGACAAGAACAAAAAAACAAAAAAGAAACGAGATCGACTGTTCGTATTATGGTCATTGCACCTGGTAAGTATAAAATATTAGATGTATTACCGTTATGATGTAATTTAATAATTTTTAATAATAGAAGGTAAAAATTTTTTTCTGTTGGATTTAGGTCCGGTAACAAAACTTCCAGTAGATCATGAACCACCAAGTCAAAATAGTCATACACCATATTGGAATGACTATGAAGGATTTTATGATAATTCTAAGCATACAAAGCTTGGTGGAAATCGAACAGTTTACGTTACATCTCCAAAATCTGTTAGAATGAATCACAATGAAGGTTTACAACGCATGAATAAGATTGGAAATTGTGGTATTAAGGTAATTCTATATTTGATTATATTATAGTCGTGGGTTAAAACTTGTAAGAACCAATACTAATATACATTTTTAAACGAAAACGCGTTTATTTGTTTTAGTCAAACTAAATTGATGTTGTAAATATCAAAGATGGCTTTGTGTTTATTTTCTTTTGAAAAGAAATAATTTTTTTGTAAATATATGAAGTTATCAAAAATATATATATATAAATATTTAGTCTTAAGGTTATGTTTATATTACCGGTAAGACAAATGTCATAGTATATATCTAGTATTTTATGTTTAATCGATGTAATATATGAAAGAAATAGTGATTTCATTTATTCGTTACTGCAGATTATAATAAATAAAAGTCGTTTATTCGTATGCATTAGATATTTTTATTTAAATTATATATCATTTTTGATGTAAAATACACTGCTTGTCTTAGTATAAATCCGTCCTAAGTTGTAAGTTGTATTAACATACAGATGAGTGAAGGAAATGGAAATGTGTAAATTAATTCACGATTATCGGAATCGTCAAGAAGAATCTAAGTCTAATTGGTTTGATCATTTTTTTCATTAACGTTAAATTCAACTCAATGAATAATATCGAAGCTACTAGAAAGATCTACTACAGTATTAACTGTACAATATGTCATGTAATCGGGCTGGGCCGATAAAGCGAACATTGGTTAATCAATTTTAGGTTTTTCCTTCCGTTATTAATATATGTATGTATATCCATTTACAAATAAATACGTGTATATTATTATATTTAATTATTGCCTATATATTATACAATAAATATACGTGATTTTTATAAAACCTAATTTACAAGTATTCTTATTCAAAATAAATAATAAATTTCACAAACGTCATATAGTAATTATGGTTGATGATCAAGTTTTAATACTTGAGATTTTTAAATTTGAATTTCATCAAGAAATGAAATTTAAAATTTGAACCAACTTCGAGCGTAATCTTTTCGAATGGAGAAATATTTTCAGCCATAATTACATCTTATTGAATTATAACTTAAATGATCAAATAATGCAACTAACAATCATGTATCAATGACCATTTTATTTGGGTCATAATCAAGATTCCATAGTTGGTTTAAGGGAACTTCTAAAGGTCCTGGCTTTTTGTCAACTATTTCAAAACGATGAATGAAAAATTAATTTAATGTCAAAAATAAATTTTACAGTTTATTAAAACTTACCTTCTTCACGTTGATCTTTTAATCCCTTTCCAAAATTAATTAACACTTTAACTCCAAACATTAATAATAACTAATTAATCAAATTATATATATGTTAATAATAAATTTTACATTTAAATTATTTAAATTGGTTTAACTATTAAAAAAACGTTGCTTTACATACTATAGAGTTTAAGATTAATACTATAACTATTAAGGTAAAATTAAAAACAAAAGAGATTAGATTATAGCAACAGTAAAAAAAGATTTTATTGTTCAAGTACTCACCAAGAATTGACCCAAAGATCCAAATACTTCCGATCGCTTTAAACACATAAAATAAGACAGCAAACACTAACATAAAATCAGCAATAACTGCAAGCCATAAAACCAAGAATATTATCATCCCAATTTTATATTCGTGTTCGACCTTAATAATATTTAAGTAGAAAAAAAAAGAATTAATTTAATATAATATGCGTATAAACACATTCGTATTACAGTATTATGATACATTACCAATTTATAACCAACTATTTCCAAGATAAGTACTAAAGCAGTAGCAGAATAATGAAATATTAATAATGGTGGTGATATAATCTCTGTAAATCTATCCAGTCGAGAAATGAGAATAGATGCTAGCAAAAACAGTACGGTGGCAAATAAGTTGAGTTTCAATAACATTAAAAAAGCCAAATAATCCTTGTGCATTGCTGTATAATTCATGAAATCATTAATGTAAATATATATATAATATATGTATGTTAACACGTTATAAATCTAAATAATGAGAATCTATATATCATAAAAGGATGTTCTTACCTTGCGTTTTTGTATCACCTCCATATTTCTTGTAAATATCCCACCCAAATTGATCATATAATTTAAAAGATAGATAAGCCACGATGACTGAAAAAAGGAAAACAAGAACTGTACAGATAACATCTGATATCAAAAGTAGTTTGAAGTCTTGACTTTTATGTAAACTTTGATAACCCTCATCAGTTGGTGGTATACAATTGACGAAGTCGTCAAGCTCGTATGATACAGAAATAACTTCATAAATTTGAACCTGTAACATTTAAATTTACATTTAACTTCATATTATTTTAATAAAGCAGAATCAAAATAAAATTTACTTACAAATCCGTATATCGACCACCCCAAATTAAAGATATTAATCGTTATAATTTGAACAATATGTTCTTTAAATACCTGATTTATTTTATAATATTAATACTCTCTATTCATATATAAATATAAAAGCAAAAAATAAGCAAATTAGTGGTATGCAATACTTACCGCATTAAAACAGAAATATAATTGGAAAACTTGAAAAACAATAAATATAATATTGTCTAAAGTAAGGTATGGAAACTTTGGGATATTTGGACTTTTACAATTGCTGGTATGATTTGCATTGCTAAAAGTTGAATTATTTTCATACCAATCAGAATATAAATTTAAATTTTGAGAAAATATAAAAGCTTGGAGGATAACGAGTACGACGCATTGTATTATTGTGGTGATAATAAAGAGCTTTGTGTATTTTGTGGATGCTATCTTATTCCACTTTTTGGGATTTTAAAAAAATTATTAGTTAATTATTAGTGAGAATTAAAAAAAAAAATCGTTTAATTAATTAATTAATTTAAAAATTTCTTGCATTTGTTAACTCACGTTCTCCATCAAATTCTTTTTAATATTGAACTTTTTTTTTAAACGCTTAACTTTCTTCTTAATTTCATCTAATTTGAAATCGTTTTTTAATTGAAAATATTTAAACTCCATTATATATAATATTTAATAAGTTTTATTTTTTATTAATAATTTAAATAAACGAAATCATGAGTTCATTAAATATACGACTAGAACAGTCGAATGCTGTATAAAACAGAAACCATCATTACTATATAGTGTAGGCAAAATGTAACATAGCACAACCTAAAAGTGGTGATATATATGTAAATATAGATTTTACAAGTGTCAACGAATTCAATTCCTTAACTCTAAACCTGATGTAGAATTTCATTTGGTAGATCAAAAGCAAAGAATCAGATTAAATAAACAATGTCCTTTTTATAAATTATAACATACTATGATTATCTAATTTAATCTAAAATATTCCATAAATTGTCACCAAAACTTTAAATTTTATTTATTATCCGTTATGCACTACTTTAGGATAAAAATCGGTTTGAAAAATTAGCATTAAATTCCGAAAGTTGAAAAGTCTTAATCTATATAAATATTATATAAACGTTTCATATTGTACTTTTGTAACCTGGTTCATTCGGGATTGTTTATCCGGATTCTTTATGTGCATAGAAGTAGACTATATCTGGATAATAGATCTGTAAGACGTCTGATTAAATACACAAAATCAATTTGCCGTTTTATATAAAAATAGTAAAAAGGGTAAGTCTTATGTTGATACATGGGGTTTTCTTTATGATTTTGGAATGCAACAAGAATACAATGAAAGCCTTTTTACTAAAAGTTCGAGCCGTACAAAAGTTGCTTTTAGTAAGTTCTAATTTGATATGATACTATTTGAGTGCTGCCAAGGGAAAACCTGGAATTGTGAGTTTTCCGAACTCCGTTTTAAAGAACAAGCTTAACAAACACATGATTTATTAAACATATAGAATTTATTAAGGTTTATATAATTCATCAGAGATCTGATCAGCCAGTTTCTGAAAGCGAAATTTCGGAATTCAGGTTTTCCCTTGGCAGCACTCGCTTCTTAATCGATAGATTCATTCTAATATACTTTAAGAAGTTGAGAAGAAATTTTTTTGCCAAGCTACAAGCTATTTATATAAGCCAATATTTTTATTTAAATCCAACTATTTTAATAAATTTAAATATAAACTGAGAAATCTGAATCTGAAACGAGTAAGGAAACAATTAAATCTCGCTATTACAGTATTAAGATGTTACACCAACTGTAGATCGCCAACATTGCGGGCTAATTTTTGGGATTGGATTGGATCGACGAAAATCGCAAATACGTATCAGCCATGAACTTGCATTTACCGTATTTTTCCAGATTTACAGTTAAATGTACAAACCGGTTAAGCCAATCAATTTTTGCTCACATGTGCATGAAAGTAAGCGATTTCATTACCCGAAGGACATTATTGTTCGAAGAACATTACGGGTAGACAGTTTTGTGTGTGTCCGCAAATTATGAATTTTGATTGGTCAATCAGATAAAAACAACCGGAAATAACCGTGATTCTTCGAACTCAAAATGGTCTCCATTTACCTAGTGGTGAACATCCGATGCCCGTGTGTCCGCAAATTATGAGATTTGATTGGCTAAATTAGGTGTAACTCAAAACAATCGTTTTTTATAACGTACGTACGTACGTACGTACTGTACGTATGTACGTAAAAAAGCAGGTTCTTATCCGCATAATACCCCTAAATGACTTCTAAAGTTCTTGCAGGATATAGAGGTTGGAACCGGTTTTAATAATTTGGGTTTATCACATGAATTATGCGATATTTTAGAATTTCTTAAAATTTAATTGGATAAATTTCTAAAATATCACAAAATTCAAGTGATAAACCCGAATTATTAAAACCGGTTCCAACCTCTAGCAGGATACATTTCACAGGGTGGTAGAACCCACCTCATATGCGCTAATTTTCGACTATTAGGCCCTGAATAGTCACCGCAAATTTGCAGATCAAAAAAAAATTCGATGATTTCTGATTCTGATTGCCGATTCCTTTAAGATTCTTTTGCAGAAATAAAAGTTGTAAATTCATAATTTTGTAACATATTTCGATTTAGCATCTTTTGTAGGAATATAATTTGCATATTCATCATGTTGCAAAGTACTTGATTGTGTAATATTAAATTTTGTTTCTTTTCTAGCTCGATAAAATTTACTATTGCATGATAAGCAAGAAGAAA